TTTTTGGGCCTGGCATTTAAACTTGAGGTAAGTTTATATTTTAATTTAATAAAATAAAATATGCAATTATCAGAAAGGTATCTCCTCTATGAAAATCAGTGTGGCTGTTATACTTAGTAGATGTTGAAGGATACATTACATTGTTTTGAACGAAAGTCTTACAATTTTTTTCTACCTTCTGAGCTTTTTGGTTTTTGCTACTTCCAGGCTGGGCGTTTTGGGCAGCTGACATATGTTCGCGTTTATCAAGGGATGCTAAAGAAAGGTAGTTATATCTATAACACCAGGACTCAGAAGAAAACACGGGTACAAAGATTTGCCCGCATGCATGCAGACAAGCTGGAGGTGAGTGAGGTGCCATTTCCAATTTATGCAGCCCTTTTTTTCAGCAAGTGAACTCTCCTCTTTAATAAGCAGAAGTAACTCAGGATGCTGTTGCATTGAGTCTGTATCAAAGCAAGGATATTGAAGAGATGAGTCCCTTACCTGCACAGTGGTGTCTCAACTTACATTTAATATGTGGAATATTCTGTTCTCAGTTTCTCCTCTGGTCACTTCTGTCATAGAGTAATGAACAGCAAGTGCCCTGAAGGATGAGAACAACTTGGCTTTCCCTTGGTTGTCTCCTCCACCTTTGTTTTGGTTCTGATCAAAAGGAAGAACACCTCTTTCTAAGCTGTTTCCCAGTGTAACTAATATTTTACATATATAGTGTAGGCAAAAGAGATTCCAAAATGTGAAAACACAAAGGAAGCTGTATATTATGTACATTGTGTGGGGTGTAAAATTCTTTTGCTCTAATTTGCATAGTTGCCTTTTTATGCCTCAGATGTTCTCCATGGAGAGGAATGATTCAGATACACTTTCTCAGCTGAATAGAGGAGGAGGAAGAGGAAATGATTCCTCAGAGAGATGGCAAGAGCTTTGAGTTTATTTATTTAACATAGCTTCCTGCTGCTCTAGAAAATCAGTTGATGCTTCATCGGTGATTGTCCTCTTTTTTTCAAGGGGAGTTCCTCACTCTCCAAGAGAGTCTGTTCCACTGTCCAGTCTCCAAAATATGGAGAAGTTGCCTATCTAAGAGTGTGATCCCTTGAAGAATTATCATCTGGCTTGTTCTGTTGTGTCCTATGCTTTCCCCAACCCTGATCTGTGCCAATGCACTCGCCCCATTCTCTTCTTTGTGACTCCCATTCTCTTTGCACATCAAATAAACGGAACAGTTTTCAAGAAATAGCATACATCTGTTAGAATGCAAGACCATTTTCATTTAAATTGTTGGGCCTTTACAAGGAAAAAAAGAAAAGAGAAATAAGATGTATGTGGATAAAGGAGTGTCAACGTAAATTTAAAAAGAATCTTATACTTTTAGAAGTACAAATATAACCCCTAATACGTTACAGAGTTGGAGTCTCTCTTAACTTAGTTTATCTTGAAGACTTTGTATCATGAATTTGGGATGGTAATTAACCTTTCCTTGAAATTGTTTTCCTTGTGTAAACAATTATTTTTTCACTTTGTTGGGAACTGCTTGCCATTTTTTTCAATCTTCTCAGATTTTCTGCTGATAAACAGATCATTTATGATTGGCTGAAGATACATGGCAGCCAGTTTGTGATCAGGCCACCATCTCCCCAGGTCAAATGCTTTCTAAGATGGCCCTTAACAGGATTTCAAAATGCATAATGTACCCACTAGCCAAAATCATACAGATTCTCCGATATAGCAGAACACTGTTTCATTGTTCTTGAGAAACAATACACTTTCCTATGTAAATGAATTTGAAATTCTGAAATTTTATTTCATTTTGAATTATGTAAGTGTATATATATTCACTAAAATTAGTGCATATATATAATCTGTTTATTAATGTTATACTTTGCCAACACCATTTCATGCCACATGCCGACTATAATAGGTATCTAAAACATTGTTTTATTTTACTAGGATGTGGACGAGGTTTACGCAGGGGATATCTGTGCAGTTTTTGGCATTGATTGTGCTAGTGGAGATACATTCACAGAGAAAGAAAATATTGACTTTTCTATGGTAAGTTGTTAGCCGGAGTATTGCAGAATTTGTTTGTTTTAAGTCTTAAAAATATGATCCCAATTTTCCTCTATCTATAAATGTAAATTTTTCAAGAGAGATTTTGAACATTTCAAATTGTGTGTGTGGTGGATGTGTGTCTTTCCTTCCTTAGTCCAAAACATACACACATTTGTGTATGTGCATTTATCTATCAATATATTAGCCTGCTATATACAAGTTTTTAAAAACACAAGGCATAAATATATTAAGCTTATAGAAAAAGTAGTTCTGCATTCTGGTCAAGTAGGAATAAGAAGAAACAAATCATGCAGTGACTCTTTCTTGTGCCTTTGTCTTAAAACAGTCATAATAGTGTATAGATATTAAAGTATTTAATTAGGACTAAAGAGACCTACATTCAAATTCACTTTCACTCAAGGAAACTCACTGGATGTCTAACCACTCATAGAGTTGTTGTAAGAGAAGGAGGAAGTTCCTTATTGCAGGAGTCTCCAACCCCCAGTCTGTGGACCGGTACTGGGCCGTGGCATGCCAGAAACCAGGCCGCAAAAACAAGCAAAGCTCTGCCCACAGGATGCAGGCAGCACCCGAAACAATGCCCCTTCCGGTCCACGGAAAAACCTCTTACCATGGAATCAGTCCCTGGTGCCCACAAGGTTGAGGACTACTGCCTTAGTGAGTTCCAGGAGAAAAAGTAGGATATAACTCAATAAGGTAAATATATAGATGAATGTAAACCTTGCTTATATATAGGATAATATGACTTTCTCTAAAAGGAAAGTGTTTGGATAGGCTGTTTCAGAAAACACTCCCAAGATTTGGAAAGAGGCTTGAGAGTTTTCTCTGAGCTCCTTGTGACAGTGGGAGTGAGTAATTATTCTGCTTATTCTATTATTCTTATCCTTGTTTTTAGCTTTTCCTGTACAATGAACGAAGTTGGGAAGTAAAATCCTGGAGTATGGTCCCAGTGTCTCATTTCTCCTTCTTCCCAAGCCTTAACTTAATTCCAGTAAATAAATATCAGTGACCCGGGCCCTGAAGAGGTTAATCCTTATTTGATAACAATTGAATGCTCTTAAACCAGTTAGGTTTCCCCTGTTACCCGCATGTTCAGTTAATCCCAACTCTCTCAATAGTATAAAAATGAATATTTCCAATGAGTTGAGTTTAATTCCCAGTGATTTCATGACTACAGTATGTCCATGTAACTTTCATAGCAACAAGAGTGGTTTGCTATTGTCTTCTTCCACTAATTTTGTTTAACCTTCAGGTTTCCCATGTGGCCTTGGGATTTTTTTTTAAACAATCTGATGTCCAAATATGGCCAGGTCCTATCTTGCTCAGCTTCTCTTGACATACTGACATACTGTGACAGCCAAATTGGCCAGATGATGCCACCCCACTGAGCCTAATAAACACAATTATATACACTATATTGCCAAAAGTATTCGCTCAAAACTGATTCTGATTATTTGGATGGGTGAGCGAATACTTTTGGCAATATAGTGTACATGTTTCTCTCAGGTCTAATATTTCTATCATATGTCTCAAAATGTGGTACATGAAGTTCTTATATTTCAGCTTTCATTTGAAGAGGTTGACCTGCCTATTAAACATTGTGTTCAATTAATTGCAATAGAATAATATGTAAGGTGTGGCATGCTGCAGATATACTTTTATACGGTGAAAAAATTGAAGTCTTGTCAACTTTTAGATATGTGATTTATTTTATACATTTTAATTAAGGCAGGATTGTATGAAAAATATTCAGTGACAAACAGCTTTTTCATTGACAGGTAGTAGCAAAACTAACCAATAAGTTGCACAGCTGTAATTACAACAAAGGTGGAGGCAAAAGGATGAATATCGTTTTCTAGCTGCAAGCATTGTTCTATATTTAGTTCTTGAAAATATATATATATATAACAGTAATTTCATCATTAACTCATATATGCTACAGATTTGCAACAAAACGGATAGTTAGTCACGAATGTCCCAGATTCTGCAAATTTCCATGCCCTATTTATTTCTCCAACGACTGCCACAGACTTGTTTTAAGATACAACTTTTGTCCTTGTTAATGAACAGTCCTGAAATAAATTTTTTGGCAACTTTTAAATTTAGTTGGTTGTTGGTGAATACAAGTTCCAAGCAAGCCTCAAATGTTAGTAGCAGCCAGTGGATAGGCATATTGAAGACAGAGAAGACAGTAGGTGTGTTCAGACACATTCATGGCCAACTGTAAACTAGTAGCCTAAAATCATCCAGTCTCTTCATGCATGTCATAATTGACAGCTTTCGGTGTCTATTACATTAGATTTTCCCATTTTCCCCTCCCCGAAGTCTTCAGATTTAATCCTGTAATGCAAGTGGGGTAGAACCTCAAAGCACATCCACCAAAATAGTTGAATTTCAGCAGCATGATTTCATGTTTTAAGGAGTTATATAATATTTGGAGCTGGAGCAGTTTGTATCTTAGAAACCTTGCACCTTAACTTTCCCAAAGCATGGATAAAAATAATTAGCCCTATTGTTTCTGATAACAATATAGAATCATCAAGCCCAACTCTTCAAACATTACATAATCCTGTAATAATAAGGATCTTAACACTGGGCATTTTGAATTATAGGAAATGCAGGAAGACAGTACAGTGATATTCTAAAACTGTAGCCTACTAGTACAATATAATGGGTATGAAATATATTCAAGAAAATGCATGTTTATCTTATAAAGGCTTTTAATTTGTTTTTAATATTTGGAAAGACTTGTCTAATAGCAGTGATGACTTCTAGAAAATTTATATTAAGAAATTGTTTCTATGGATTCTCTTTATAGGAACCTATTCATGTACCTGATCCTGTTGTTTCTGTAACAATGAAACCAGTCAACAAGGTAGGGATCGGAAGTAAAAAACAAAACAAAATTAGTGGAATAAATTATGTGTGATCTGATTGGGCCTTTTTGATAGTAGTAAGCAAGAGTATGGTGGCACTTATGTATTAAAATGTACCGTATTTTTCAGAGTATGAGACGCACCTTAGTTTTGGGGAGGAAAATGGGGGGCGGGAGGGAATTCTGCATACCAGGTATTCATCATCCTTAGTCTGGTCAGCTTCAGCACATAAATTCGCTGATTTTGAGCGCACGCACACTTTTTATCGCCTGGTTGGGGATAAAAAAACAGCTTCTAAAGCACAGCTGAACGTCGGAGAGAGCAGCAATGAGAAAAGCAGGCAAAGCACACTTCACTCGTTAGAGCTTCATTAGGGCTGAAAAACAACTTCAAAAATGTTACATTCACGCACCCAAATTTTCAGCCTTTTTTTGTGGGTTGGGTGGGGTACATTTTATACTCATCTTATACTCTGAAAAATACAGTAATTGAAACATCAGCCCGGAAGCTCTTTTTCTGCTATAGATTGTCCTTGCTTAACAATGGTAACTGCAAGTGAAATTTCTATCACCAAGCAGTGAAGTCATAAAGCACAACATTATGTGATCACATTGCTTAGCCACATCAATCTGGGCAGTCCCTATTGCTGTCATTATGGGAGGAACAGAGTTCCTTAAGTGAGGACCTCATGTGACTAGGACAAACAATGGGGAAGCCAGCAGGAAGCTGCAAATCCTGGTCACAAGTCCCAGAGGTACTTTTCTCAGGAGGCAACTGGACCTAAATTTGGAACAGCATTCCCTGCAAGGTTTGTTTGGCCCTCACCCTGATGACTTTCAGAAAAGCATGATCGGTTTTAATATTTTCTCAGCAGGGCAATTTGTGAAACACCTGTGTGTTTCCTGCTTGACTTTTGTTGCACTACTGTTAGTGAATTTGGTTGTGGGACTTTTTAAACTATGTTTTTAAACTACTATATAGCACTTTGAGTCGCTTTGATAAGGTAACCATATACATTGAATAAATATTCTCTCTCCTTTTAGAACGATGACAGGTTTGCAAAAGGCATTAATCGTTTTGTAAGAGAAGATCCCACTTTCCGAGTCTATTTTGACACGGAGAGCAAAGAGACAATTGTTTCAGGAATGGGAGAACTACACCTGGAAATCTATGCTCAGGTGAGTATTAAGTTTACACTGGGAATGGTGCTATTGTCACTTGACAAAAACATTTAATTTGGCCCGTTGGAACCTAGTACAGTTACAGGTTCTATATCACCATACCAACTAAATCATTCAGCTAGCAGTTTCTTCTATTACAATATCTGACCTGCTCAAGGTTGACTCAGCCTTCCATCCTTTCGAGGTCAGTAAAATGAGGACCCAGATTGCTGGGTGCTATATGCTGACTCTGTAAACCACTTAGGGAGGACTGCAAAGTGCTGTGAAATGGTATATAAGTCTAAATGCTATTGCTTTTCATTTTTGAAGCATTTGGAGCGATGCATTTTTATTAAAGAAAAAATATACACATTAGGAGGCAATGCTGTTACATATGATATTCTATTTAGAGAGAAATCGTATCTTTTGCCTCCCCAATTTTGGCTTGCATTTGTTTCAATGATAGCATTGTTGGGATGCTAATGCTTTAATGGCATTAAATTAGGCTGTTTAGTCAAGATGTAGGTATTTGGTAGTGCGTTTAAATCAACAAAAACTTTGTGTCCTTTGTGTTTAGAGAATGGAAAGAGAATACGGTTGTCCTTGTGTGACTGGAAAGCCTAAAGTAGCATTCAGAGAGAGCATTGAGGCCACTGTACCGTAAGTATTCAGTTCTAATAAGTAAGAGCTGCCAAACCAGAGTCAAGGATATTTATTTAAGTTCTTGGAGGATATTCAGAATTGGAAGGGTATCTAAAACCTCCAAGCAGTATTTTTATCAGCTGTTATGTAGTTGCTTTCACCTCATCAATTGAAGAACAAGATTTAATTAATATCACTTTGACTGGCGACTATTCTGTGTTACTTTCACTCCATGCTGTGGATGCCATAGAACTTGCATGTGCCAAGGAATAGTTTCCTGCAAATAAAAAAGACAAAATGTTTGAAATATTCACGTTTTAGGGAAATCTGGGAAGTATATTTTATTTCTGAGTATTGCATCAAGACAAGGTTTTGCCCCTTTTTTGGTACTTTATGCCACATTCATTTCTTTCTTCTTTTCCTATCTCTTTTTCCTATTAATAAAGGTAATTGGGCTATTGACCAGGCAATTCAGAATGTGGATCACAGAAAAAAAAACCTCCTAAAACATTGTCTGATGTACTTTGATTTGAAAGCTAGATTTTCAGATCTGTAATGCAAATGTGCCTTAGGCTTTTGAATTGTGAAACAAAAAGTTTGCAAGGCTGTTGTAGTTGCTTCCAGGGTGGAAATAGAGAGGAACCTCACAGCCCTAGTAAGTTGAATTTTGCAGATCATGAAATTGGAATGAGAATGTGCACCTGTGTTTGTGTGTGTATCTCCAACCTTGCCCTTTGTACTTCTGCTACTTCAGTTCTCCCACTGCCTTTTCTGAATGATATGCGGTACCACCGCTGAGTCTCCCCATAGCTCAGGTTTGCATGAAAGTGGGTTCCCTGGCTAGCACTTTCTTGTAGTGCTATGGTGTTTTTAGAAAAAGCGTAGGAGGTAGACTTTGCTGTACCCTTGCAATTAACTTACATCTTACAAAAGGACTCTGCCTGCATATGGCAGTAAAACGGAGTGAGCGGCTAAAGCTTTAGAGAGCAAAGCCACATTTCAAAATTTCCTTGACAGACTTGAACATTGAGCTAAATCCAGCAGGATGATTGATTATTCTGGCTTATGTGCCAGTCCAATGTGTTCAACTTTGAGCAGCAGTACTCATTCTATGGTTCAGTTTTTCAGAAAAATGCTAGGGCCAAATGGCAATACTCAGATCAAATTTATAAGCATATCCAGCTGGCGGGATTGTAACTAACACAACCCAGCCACAACCTGTTGCTACATCTTGAGCAGTCAGTCAAGTACAGGTAGTCCTCAACTTACAACAGTTTGTTTAGTGACTGACCAAAGTTACAACAGCAGTGAAAAAATTGACTTATTACCATTCTTCACATTTACAACTGTTGTAGCATCCCCATGGTCATGTGATCAAAATTCAGATACTTGGCAATTGACTCATATTTATGACTGTTGCAGTGTCCCAAAGTCAGGGGGCGAACTCACTTTAAAATATTTCACTTAGCAACAGAAATGTTGGGCTCAATTGTGGTGGTTAAGTCAACCACATCTTAAAGGCCCTTCAAAATAATCAGGTATTGTAATCTACTAGAATTCTAATAGGGCAGAGACCATACGTTTCCGTTCATTGTACCAGGGAGATGGCCTGACACTGGGAATATTCAACAGTGAATTTCTGTTTCTAGATAGGGGAGGGAAACCCTCAAATGGGCAGATATATAGAATTTCTGGTTTCTGAGATTCAATTCAAGAAAATAAACAATATTCATCTTTGGTTAAATTTTGGTCCTCAACCCAGTTGTAATCCTCTTTGGTCCTCAGGTCAGTCCTAAATCTTAGGATAGTATTGTGTGACCCCCCTTTTCTTAAAAATATGTATATGTAGCCCTTGATTTACAACAGATCATATAATGACCATTCGAAGTTACAACGAACTTTGTTTTGCAATGCACTGAAAAAAAAGTGACTTATGACCATTTTTTAAAATGTATGACTATTGCAGCATCCCCATGGTCATGTCACCAAGATTTGGATGCTTGGCAACTGGTTCACATTTATGACAGTTGCAGTGTCCCCAGATCATGCAAATACCCTTTGCAATTTTCTGAGAAGCAAAATCAATGGGGAAGCCAGGCGCACTTAACCGGATTATTAACTTAATGTTGATTTACTTAACAACTGTGGCAAGAAAAGTCGTAAAATGGACCAAAACTCGCTTAACAAATGTTTCACTTAGCATGATAAAATTTTGGCTCAATTATGGTCATAATACTACTTGTATTGGATATCCAAAGTTGCTAACTAGATTTTTAAAAAAGGAGCATCTAGATCAAAGGAAATGATAATTCCCTTTCCGCTGCCTTTACTAAGAACTACTGTATGCTTAGAAATCGGCAATGGCCACCTGTAAAGTCTTCTTCATTTCTTTCAATACTAAATGCTGTTGTAAAAGAACAACCGTAAATGATAGTTTGAACAATGATACCCTTACAGGCATTTAAGATTCCCTATCAAGAAGTCTTTGATCAGCGTAACATGAATTTTGAAACTGATGTTAATATTTTCAGTTTGTCTGTTCTCTAGGCTTGGGCATCTTATTCAATCCCTGCTGTTCTTCCCAATAATTACTGTGAGTTCTCTTTCAAATTTAGATTTGCTACCATAGAACTCACGGTTCTGGTCTTTTGGGGTTTCATTTTGATAAGACAGATGGTTTAGAAGCCAAAATATTCCATGCTTTCTTGGCCTTCCCATTGAATTATAAGCATTAAACCATATTTCCATTCTGGAAACAAAAGCTGGGATCTGCTCACGACTAAGTAAGAGTGTTATGTTGTTGTTCAAGCTATCTTGTTCTTATGTTTTGCTGGACGTGAATCAGATTAGGCTGCACTTATAGAGTGCAGGCTACAGGTAGTTCTTGGCTTACGGCCATTCAAAGTTACAACAGCACTGAAAACATGACTAATGAGTGATCCTCACACTTACTACCATTGCAGCATTCTCCACAGTCACACGATCAAAATTTGGGTGCTTGGCAACTGGTGTGTTTTTAATGTTGCAGTATCCCAGGGTCCTATGGTCACTATTTGGGACCTTCCCAATCGACTTCCAACAAGCAAAGTCAATGGGGGAAGCTGGATTTGCTTAACAACTGTGTGAGTCTCTTAATAACAGCAGTGATTCACTCAGCAACCATGGCAACTAGGTCTTAAAACTGGCATGACTTACTTAACAACCACCTTGCTTAACAGCAGAAATTCTGCTTCCAGTTGTAGTTGTAGGAATCGTGGTAGTGCAGTGGTTAAATCCAGACTAATTCACTCTTCGCTGCCAGGAGTTTGAGTTCGATTCTGACCTGCTCAAGGTTGACTCAGCCTTCCATCCTTTCGAGGTCGGTAAAATGAGGACCCAGATTGCTGGGTACTATATGCTGACTCTGTAAACCACTTAGGGAGGGCTGCAAAGTGCTGTGAAATGGTATATAAGTCTAAATGCTATTGCTATTGTAAGTTGAGGAGTGTCTGTACACACTGCTCCTATTTTGGAACAATTTCTTATATATCCAGTTTAGTGTCTTTGACCGTTGTCTGGACGTCCAATATTGTTGTTATATGAAAATAAGATGCATAACTTTTGCTGTGCCCTTTTTTTTAAAAAAGCAAACACGTTTTCAAAATGTTACTTACCTGGGAGACAATATCATGGAATAAAACCTCATAGGAAAATTCAAGATAGTCATCATTTCTTTTCTGAAACCATAAAAGGGAAAACCAGTTCAGCAGCTACAGTCCTTGGTTAAATACAAATCATTAATTTTATATAATATACAGAATGTATATTTGACAACAGAATAAAAATAAGAGATTTAGTTTTCCTGTCTTAATCATATAAGCTTAGGTGCAAAGCCGCCAAATTTTTTTTAAAAAAATTCTACTGGCTCAAGCAACTATAGTTTGAAACTTAACTCTTTTAAAAAACCCAGAGGGTTATATTCTCTCTTAAGGAGAAACGTACTTGTCTTATCCCAGCAAATTGTTTGCTCATTTTTTGCTTATTATTTTATGACACTTTGCTTATTTTCTCATAATATTAAACCATTAGGGAGTGACTCCTTGGCTTATTGCATTTTCATGATCTCATATTCCTTATAATTTCAGGGTAAAACAGAATAGAAAGATTTTTTTAAAAAAAGGCAGCATACTGCAGGAACTAATCTATACTGTGCTATAATCTCATGTTTGGTTTTGGTATTATCCCCAACCTCAAATAACGTGTTACCAAATTGTAAGGGAAAAAATAGTACGACCATCAGTCCAGAAAAATTGTTCAGCCGTATTATAAAAAAACAAAACAAAATTAAAAATAAAATGTAGCAGAGTACTCAGAAGTGTTTCTTTTTAAGTTGGGGGTGGGAAATGTCTGGCCTATGGCCTGAATCAAGATTTCACGTAACTAACCTGTAAAATGACCTGTCTCTTCCCCCTTTTAACCTTTCCATCTCTGGCCTTTGTGTTAGTCTTTCCTGAGCTGGAGGGTCTTGTAATTTGTGAATCCCAGATTTCTCAAGAGGGGAATGCCAAATAGCATGACTTCTGTTATCCTTTGGCTCTGTAGTTCTTTAATGTTTGTTTTATTAAGTTTATTATGCTGCCCATCCCACTATGAAGTGGCTGGACTGCTGCATTATTTTTGCTCTGGGGAAATGAGTTAGCGATTTTTGAGTCAAAAATAGTGAAGTTGATGTTCTTAAAACAGTCATAACATAGAAGTGGGAAGCAGTCTTTTGGAGGGGGGTCGGAAAGAAACTCGACTTACCACTTGTTTGACATTTTTAATTTGAATCATATTGTACAAGGTGTTTTCTGTTGAATTCTGCCATACTATATATCCAGAGGCAACCTTGGCTAAGTTGAAAATAGGCTTCATTTCTTCTGGCATATTTCCAACATTATCTGGAAATATAAGTAAAAGTTGTACGGAAATAAATTTTGAGAGAGAGAAAATGCAGGGCTAAACGCAGCATTGTGAATATGCATGCTTTAGCAAAATTTATCTGGATATGCAACATGCATGCATTCTTGTGTATCTGGAACTTGGATTTTGATCTAGTAGCCGTGTCGTTGAAACAACTATTGAAAAAGAAAAAGAAAAAACCAAGTCTGGATGGACAACACTATGTGGGCAACATTGGGCATGTATTACTCTTAAGATCCATATTGGAGGTAATTATAATTCTAATAGCTACAGACATCCTATAGCCAAATATGATTGTTGTTTTGCACCATTGTTGGGACCATAAATAACTTCTGTTTATTTGTTTTGAAATTTTATATGGTTACCCGTCTTCAATATATGACTCTGGGTATTGAGCACCTTACTAAAAATCAAATTTAAGGTTTTTTTAAAAAAATCCAGTGGAGAGAAAAATATATCCAAAGACTTCATAATAGCAATTTCACAAACAAAGATATATTATGGGCACACACCACACAATTCCTGGCCCAATGCATGAGGACAAAACCAGGCCTTCTCAGCCTTCTGAAAGACTGAGAGGGTCAGGGTTCTGCAGATCTCAAGGGTAAGGTTGTTCTATTGGGCAGCAATCATGACAAAGAAGTCTCTGTAAGATGATAATGTTCTATAGAAGGGATTTCGATCATTCTCATTCTGTTGGATCTGGAGCAGCCAGAAACCTTAAGAGACCAGGTAGTCCAGCAAGTAACCTGGTCCCATGTCAGGTGTGACTTCAAGGGCAGCACGACAGAGAGCACAGTGCAGTAATCCTATTGGGAAATGATTAAGGCAGGAAGGACAGTGGGCAGAACCCACCCCACTCTGGTTCAGGAAGTGAATTTAACTTGCACACAAGACAAATTCTTGCAAAGGCCCCCCCTGGTCAGGGTTGCCATTTTCTTTTCGAGAAATGGGCCCCCAACTTAGTCTCAGGAAGTGCTACCCCCCCCTTAAAAATGAAACATCTGACAAATTCAGGCAATATAGTGTGTACCCATGTTAATATTCTGGTATTTTAAAACAATCTGGTATTTTATACTAAAGCAATAGATTTACCCTGAGATAAGTACGCATAGACCAGGATTCACTTTTTAAGACTCCTGGTTTGTTATCATTACGCGTTCCCAAGAAAAAAAATAAAAACACTGTAAACAGAAATGCAAGTAATACATTTATATATCGCTGCTTATTTATGGATTTTAAGAAAAGGATGAGATAGGATGTCACCGTGAAAACCTTACTTTTTTCTGTATTTCCAATCACGATGACTCTGACTGGTTCAAATAAAAGTCAGATCTCCTTATTTAGGTGGTGAATAACAGAAATGAAATTAAACAGAATATTTTTTTAAAGGAAAAATCCATGCAAAGATCTCGTAAAAATGTTTAAAATAGGTATGTGCCTGCAAGAAATGGCCACACATTTTAATGAATAGGAATATGGTCAGGCCTCTAGACCTTTGTATGTTGCAATAGAAAAATGCAAAACCTGCCATTGAGAAGGGAAGATTCTCTGGAGCTTCCTATCAGTTTTTAGGTAGGAAGATATACTGTAATAGTTTATGTTTAGGGTCTCCTGTCACCGGTTATTTGAAAACACAAATAAATAGATGTTATTTAATTTCAGAATGCAACACTTTAAATGGCAGCATTGCGTATTACCTGGTATATTTCGGGTCTCTAATGGCTCAGTCAGGTGCTGAATTCTGCTGTAGAATAGGTTGTCTGCTTCTGTCGAATGTGTCTTAAACGCCCTTTCCATAGTATAATGTATTTCAGGAGCAACAGGTGTGTCACCAAGATGATAAAGTATCTCGGCTGTGCAATCCTGGTACGTGCCCTGTTGCAGAAATAATTGGACCAGTTTAAAACTTCTGTAGGTATTGCTAGCATCATTTGGCTTCATTTTAATTCACAGTAAACCTGATGCCATCCGAATGAGATAGATCAAGTCTTGCTTTGCAGCAACATTGCTCAGCTTCAGCACCTTTAAGGTTTGTAGGTAAATAATGATGGCTGAATAGTTTACAACTCCCTTCGATGATGGATTCTGTTCTGCTATTTCTTTCTGCTCTTATCGTGTCACCGGGACCATTTATGTAGAAAAGATAAGATGTCATTTCATATTTATCCTTCACATTGTATGGTGGGATAATTCAATAGCAAGAACTTGATGGTATGTAAGGTCCCCATTAAAAAAAATGAGATTATATCACAATAAGTCCTTGTTTTTTAAAAGGGTTTTATATTTTGTTTAAAACTTTTTTGAGTCAGTGTACGCTTTATCCTCTTCTTAGGTAACCCATATGTGTGTGTGTGTGTGTGTGTGTACACATACACACACCAAATGTGTGTTAGATGGGAATAGAGATTTGGGGCGGGTGGAGTGGCTTTAAGTCTTTACTTCTAGTTCTTCTGAAGAACAATGAGCTTTGTTTTTGTTTTAATTGCCATTATATAATAAACCACAGTTGCTGGGATCATAGTGAGCTTAAGCCATAAAACATGACTAATAATTTACAATAGCTTTGAATTTGCTCTCTGTCTCTCGCAAACAATTTTTCATCACCATTATTGCTATCGGCAACCATGAGAGGGTGGATGATCTGAGGATTCCTGCTCTAGACAGGTAGTTGGATTAAAAGACACCTCTAACCTATGATTATGAGGAAGTTTGGCTTAGAAAAGAGGAAAGGTTTTAACCTCAGCCCCTACAGATATGCATCCATAAACACACATCCCAGCAGCCTTCCCTTTGCTTTTCTCAAAACAGCTTCCCTCATTCCTAATAGTAGCCTCAAAATAGTGATTTGGGGCAGAGCTGCCCACATTACGTATGTTTATTTGGGGTGGGGATGCAGATTAGGGCCTCCAGCATCTATGACAATCCCTAAACGTCATTCAGCTTATACTAAAGAAAATACAAGACCCAAACTTACATTCTCAATGCTTTCTTTCACTTCAAACTTAAGACGGTATTTATGCCCAGAACCTGGAATGTTCTAAAATAAAAAGAGAATTATTACATTGCTTACCTTGAATATTTTGGTAGAGGTTGCTATTCTTTATCTGTATGGGTTTATTGGTGAAAACAGGAAGGGAAAGGCATAAAGCCTTAATTTAAGCTCTTTGCTGAAAAACAAAGTGAACTGTCATAAAGTAATTCTTTAAAATTCTGATGCGTTTATGAAATTCATAGCATGGCAGCCTTGCAAAGGTAAACACATGGTACATTTATTCCATCTTTTCCAGCTTGTGTTCAGGTGTTTTGAGGACTACAAGTCCCATAACCCCAGTATATATGACCATGGCTGTGAGGGTATAGTCCCAACATTTTCAGTGACTTTCAGTTGCTATTTTGACCAGATCAGATCAGTATTGTTATTTAGGGAATGCAAAACACTGTAACAATCTTTTTTTTTAAAAAAAAATGTTTTCCAATTGATATTTTCACTTTTAAGTGCCCTGGTGGAGCAATGGTTAGAATGTGATATTGCAGACTAACTGTGGTTGCCAGCAGATGGGCAGTTTGAGTCTCACAGGCTCAAGGTTGACTCAGCCTTCCATCCTTCCAAGGTTGGTAAAATGAGGCTCAAGATTGTTGGGGGCAATAGGCTGACTCTGTAAATCTCTTAGAGAGGGCTGTAAAGCTGCCTATAAATGCTATATAAATATAAGTACTATTGCTATTGAAAGGGATCAGTGGCTAAGACGCTGAGCTTGTCAATCAGAAAGGTCAGCAGTTTGGCATTTCAAATCTTTAGCGCCGCGTAATGGAGTGAGCTCCCATTACTTGTCCTAGCTTCTACCAACCTAGCAGTTCGAAAGCATGTAAGAATGCAAGTAGAAAAATAGGGACCATCTTTGGTGGGAAGGCATACACCGTTGTGTGCGCCTTTAGCGTTTAGTCATGCCGGCCACATGACCACGGAGATGTCTTCGGACAGCCCTGGCTAATCGTCTTTGTAACAGAGATGAGCACTGCCCCCTAGAGTCGGGAAAAACTAGCACATATGTGCGAGGAGGAGGAGGGGGGGGAAACCTTTACCTATTGGTATTGCCCCTGTCTGGGAAATGCAATGATGGATAGCTCGGGAAAGCCCATGAAGGGATGACAATCCTGAGTTGAAGGCGCTTAATAGTTGCAGGTGCGATTCCTACCGTGGGCGAGGAGACAAGTTTGGACAGGGGAAGTTGAGTTTTGTTTTTAAGCAGGGAGGGAGGCGCCTCGGGATCAAAATTCAATACCCCCCCTTGCTCCCCCCAGGACTCTCTCCCCCATCTGTTCTTGCCAGGTCTGTAAGCTCTGCCAAACACAACTGCTGGCTTCGGTGCTGGCGGTAGGTAGCTGGGCGGGAGGCGCCTTTCCTTCCTTCCCTCCGGGCTCACCTCCAGGCTGGCTTGCTTCACTCGCCCCATTTCGAACAGCCTGTGCGGGCTCCCGCGCTGATAGGTGAGATAGTGGAACACCACGCCAGCGGCTCTGCTGGCCGCGTAATGGGACGCCGAGATCTCCATCTGGCCTCCGACAGGAAGCTGCTCGACGAGCTGCTGGGCGGAGTTGGTTGCGGCGCGCGGAGGCCTCTCCGGGTCCGCCGGCACCAAGGAAGCCGGAAGCAGCAGCAGCTGGAGGAGCCGAACGGGGGCTCCTGGGCCGCCGAGGGTCCACATCTCCGCGGGGCTGCAAGGAAGGGGCCTGATCCGAGCGCTGCTTCGATTGCAGGAGCCGGAATCCGGCTTCAGCTTAGGAAAGCGGCTCAGAAACTATTGGAAACCGCCCTTGAAGTCAGGTGTTCTTTAAATCAGTGTTTCCCAACCTTGGTGACTTTAAGTCCTGTGGACTTCAACTCCCAGAATTCCCCAGCCAGCAAGGTTGGGAAACACTGCTTTAAATTATTGGGCGCGACGGCTCTAGCAAGGAAAAAACAAGGCGAACCGTTCCGGCTTTGGGGATTAATTGGCCACGAAAGAGCCTGCAAGGGGAGTGCAGTCGGAGGGCAAAGGAGAACGTTCCATCCCGAAGAATGTTTGCTTTTAGAGAGCAGAGTTCGCTGGCAATTCAGAGAAAGGGTTGAGCGGTGCTTCCTCCTCCCTCCCTCCTTCTCTCTTCCTCTCTCCCTCCCCCACCTGGGGCTAAGTTCAGTTATTTACCGAGTGGAGCAAGCCAACCTTATGCCACCAGACTTGAAATTTTGGGCTTAGACAATGGGACCTAATACATAAAATTATATGCTACAATGTCCTTATGATACAGAAGCTCACAATAGATGTAAACGTAATGTAAACCGCTCCAAACTCGATTGCAGAAAATACGACTTCAGCAACAGAATTGTCAATGCCTGGAATGCTCTACCTGACACTGTGGTCTCTTCCCCCAAACCCCCCACAACTTTAACCTTAGACCGTCTACTGTCAACCTCACCCCCTTTCTAAGGGGCCTTTAAGAGATGTGCATAAGCGCAGCAGCGTGCCTACTGTCCCTGTCCTAATATTCCCTTGTATTTGTATTCATTTCATGTATTCATAATCATGTTTATACTTCTATCTGTTATCTAATTCATGCTTGACGAAATAAAGTTGAAAAAACCTTATCCAAGGCTTTGGGACGGGCTCCCTCTTAGCCTCACCCACATCATAGAGCTGTCATGGGAAGTCACGAGCGAAGGAGGAGGACTGTGTGCTCTGAGATTAGATTAGATTAACAGAGTTAGAAGGGACTTTGTAGGTCATCTAGTCCAACCCCCCAGCCCAAGCAGGAGACCCTCCACCATTTCTGATAAATGGCAGTCCAATCTCTTCTTGAAAGCCTCCTCTGATGAAGCTCCAACAATTTCCGAAAGTAAGCTATCCCATTGGTTGATTCCTCTCACTGTCAGAAAATTTCTCCTTATTTCTAGGTTGAATCTCTCCTTGATACGTTTCCATCCATTATTCTTTATCTGGCCTTCAGGTGCTTTGGAAAATAGCTTGACCCCCCTCCTCTCTGTGGGAGCCCCTCAAATATTGGAGAATTGCTATCATGTCTTCTCTGGTCCTTCTCTTCACTAGACTAGCCATGCCCAGTTCTTGTAACTGTTCTTCATAAGTTTTAATCTCTAGTCCCCCAATCATCCTGGTTGCTGTTCTCTGCACTTTTCTAGAGTCTCAACATCTTTTTTATATTGTTATGACCAAAATTGGATGAAGTACTCTAGGTGTGGTCTTACTAAGGGTTTATAGAGTGGTATTCGTACCTCGCTTGACCTTGATTGTATCCCTCTCTTAGTGCAATTTAAGATTGGGTTGATTTGCCTTGTTCCTTGAAGCATCTGGACATAGGCTTCACTGAAGCTTCCCCAGAAAATCATTGCAGATTGCAGTCACAGTTTCAACATGTTCATTTAATTATCCTTCCGTTCAATTCTATTTTGTGTGCAAAGAGAGAAATTCTGCTCAATTCCCTACTACCCTTAATTCTGTCACACAAGCCAAAGGCATTATAAAGCTATTTTGTAGTTATTTAAAGGTTATAATAACCTATAAATAAAAATATCTTCCTGTTGGCCCCCATAAAAAAATGTTTTTAAAATGAAATGTCTTGATAATAAAAATACACAAATACTAGTTTGTATTTGAAATTAGCCTGCAGGTTTGAAAATCAGTGTTGATCACACAGACTGATCACAAAGCCGCTTGTCATCATAACCATAACACACAATGTGTATTACTTTACATTACATTATATTGCATTAAACAACAGGAGCAGATGTGATTTGCCTGTAACATAATATTTTCATTTTTTGCAGGTTTGATTATACTCACAAAAAGCAGTCTGGTGGGTCAGGTCAGTACGGAAAAGTAATAGGGTATCTGGAGCCTCTAGAACCAGAGAATTATACCAAAGTGGAATTTCTTGACAAAACAGTTGGGACAAATGTTCCAAAACAGTTTATTCCAGCTATTGAAAAGGTAATATATATTTATTTTAGTTTTATTACATTAAATATAAGCCAGACATGATTGCAGACAGGCCCCTGTACTGTTATAATTTTACTTTTAGAGCATAATTACTTTGAGTTACAATTCTAGTAGATAGTGAGATTTCTTTTCAGAGTGGTGAATTAGAACCCAAATTTTAAGCAAACACCAGCAGTTTTTGGAAGTTGTAGATATATGGGGAGATCACTACAGGGCTTGAGTTCATCCCCCATTTCTTAGGATTTTAAAACCATGAAAGGTCATCTCCAAATATCTCATTTCTTTTTTGCAATAACCTAATTTTACAATATTTATGTGATCTCTAAGAGTCAGCAACAACATTTAATTTACAGTATGTCACTCTCTCTTAAGGTTTCATTTTATTTTCAATGCTGAACATGCCTAATTATGTCCTGATTGCAAATCATTGCTTTGAATCATATTTTCTGTATGTATATTTTCAATAACTTTCTGCCTGTTAAAGTCTACAGCAATGGTAGTCAACCTGGTCCCTACCGCCCACTAGTGGGCGTTCCAGCTTTCATGGCGGGCAGTAGGGATTTGCTGTAACTCTGCTTTATAAATTTTATAAAGTAAAGTTACTTCCCTACTTTATAAATCACCATTTACTGTGGAACCGGTGGGTGGTTAAAAAAATCTTACTACTAACAGAGATACAAAAATGGGCGGTAGGTTGACTATCCCTGGTCTACAGTATCATTTGGGTCTGAAATCACTAATGGCCAAGTCATGTTTTATAGGGATTCCGTGATGCATGTGAGAAAGGCCCATTGATAGGTCACAAGATTTCAGGAATCCGGTTTGTCTTGGAGGATGGAGCTTCTCACATGGTGGATTCTAATGAAATCTCTTTCATCCGAGCTGCTGAAGGTGCCATGAGGCAAGGTACTAAGAAGTTTTTTTTCCAAATGCTTTCTCTCTTGCTTTCTCATTTATCCATAATACTAATATAGGTAGTCTTCAACTTATGATCATTCATGAAATGATTGTTTGAAGTTACAAGGGTGCTGAAAAAAAATCTCGTCCTTGCACTTATGATCATCACATCTCCATCATCATGTTATCAAAATTTGGGGGCTTGGCAATTGGCATGTATTTACAATGGTTGTAGCATCTTAGGGTTGCATTATGGCCATTTGCAACTTCCCAGGTGATTTCCAACAAGCAAAGCCAATGGAGGAAGCAGGATTTGCTTAACGACTGTATGATTCATTTAATGATCATGGTGTTTTGCTTAGTGAATGTGAAAAAGGTCATACAATTAGATGTGATTTATTTAACAACCCCATTGCAACAACAGTTCCAGTCCCAATTTATATCTTTATATCAATATTTAAAAACACGGATAGTTCTTTATATCCAACTAACCAACCCACACATCAAGTGTCTAGTTCTTTCATTCTTATTGCTAGCCATCACTTAGGACTTTAGACTTGTCTTTATGTTCTGAAGAATTGCATTTCTTTCCTATTTATATCTGCTTATCATGATTTGGTTAGCCCGGTTGGACTAATTGGTTGGTCTGGCTAGGTGGCTCAGTGGCTAAGACTTGTCGGCAGTTTGAATCCCTAGTATAGGTCTTCTGCGTTAGCAGGGGGTTGGACTGGCTGACCTCCAAGGTCCCTTTCAATGCTGTTACTATTAAGTTAAGATTTCCTCCATCTTGTTTTTTGCAAACATATTTGGGCTTTATATTAATAAGTGGATGTAACATTCATAAAATAATTGAATGTATGAATAACTGAATGTGTTAGAAACGTTTGTAGATCATCTAGTGCAGCTCTCTAGAGAAACAGGAATCCACTAAGCCAAAGATGTCAAAATCATCGCGTCAAGTGATGTTTCGCAACATTTTCCCCATTTGTGGAGCTGGACTGGGTGTGGCCTGGGCATGACACATCCAGCCCGTGGGCTGCCATTTGACACTCCTGCACTAAGCAGTGTTTAACAAGCTGTCACTTGATGCTCATTTCAAAATTTTCAGTAAGGAAAATCCCTCTTGATTCTAGATGGATGGTTTACTGTTTCCTCCAACTGGCATGGCCATAAAACTGCCTGTCTTGGGGTATATCATGCAACTTGTTTTTTACAAATGATGTTTTTTTATTATTACTCAACTTGATGTGAAAACAAGTCTTTACACACTGCACATCTATATAGATATTCATTCATTCATTTATATTAAATTTATTTGCCACCCACCTTACTACAAGTTGACTCTCTATGATGATGTGTGTTAAATAGTAAATATAAAAGGGCATTTGACTGTATAGGTATTGTATCATCTCTTCCTTTAACTCAGCTCTGAAAGAAGCAAGAACATGTATTCTTGAGCCCATTATGGATGTGGAAATCCTAGCACCAGTTGAATTCCAAGGACCAGTCATGGCTGGAATTAATCGCCGTCATGGTGTTATCACTGGGCAAGAGGCAGCTGAAGACTATTTTATTCTTACTGCTGAGGTATGTGTGTACTACTGTCATCTAAAGTTGTTGTTAGTTGCGAAGTTGTGTCCGATGCATCGCAACCCCATGGACAACATTCTCCCAAGCCTTCCTGTCCTCTACCTATACCATCTAAAGTTACTGTTCAAATAATGATTTTATTCGTATCTATTTACCAAAACACTAGTAATAATAATTAATATCTCAGAATGGTTACAGATTTCAATTATTTTTTTAGAAGATGATGAAAAAAAATCAAACTTTTATTTGACATAGAGTTTGAAGCTATGGAAGACAACAAAATTGAGGTTACCAAAATGTGAATTCAAAAGACAAATATAAAAAAATCAAGGTTGATGCCTCTTTACTTATTTTTCCAAGTAAGCTCGTAAAAGCTGTGAAAATTCCACTTGAATACTAAAGATTGATGAAAGATCAAATCTTGTAATCCCAGAGTAATGATTTAAAAATTAATATGTGTGAAGAACAAAAGGAAGGAATATAAAGTTGCATTATTTAATCAGAGATAAATTATTTGTTTTATGTTTCTGGTAATTCCTAGTGGTTTTTTTTTGTTTTTTGCTAATTCAAGACTAAAAAGATGATTTTTGGGTTTCATATAGGTAAAAATTAGGGTTCTTTTTTATTTGTAACTTTACAAGAGGGTGAAAAAGTGTTAGCTTATGTTCAGTATAATGAAGGTTGAAAGTCATATATTTATTATTGGGGGGCTTGCCTTTTTCTTTCCTATTTTTTTTCTTTGACTTTTTTCTGCACCTTGTAAATTTTTATTTTTCCTTCTTGTTAGTTTATATCCGTTTTTACTATGCTTATTAAAAACTTTATTAAAATGGGTGTGGTGGCTCTGTGGTTGGAGCTGAGGCTTGACGGTCAGCAGGCCTA